CTTAAGGAAAACTTTCGACACAAATTTCTTAAAACTATATAGTAATTAATTTTTTTTTTTTTTGGTCACATAGTAATTAAAATTCAAGAAACAATATTGTTGCTGTAAATAAATGTGAAGCAGAAAAGTAAAAAAATTTCGCCCTAGCTATAGACACATCAAGTTCCTAATCTACTTCACAACATTTTCTTCTTAGAAGCAGCAATAATGTTTCTTAAAACAGCCAATTCAGTCTGCAGCGTGAATTTGAATTTCTATAAAAATTATCTCATGGGAGATTTAACCATTCAAAAAGTAAACCATTTTCCATTCTATTTTGAACTATACTTGTTAATTTATGAAATTGTCCTTTAAATTTAAAATATTTTCATTTTTTTTGTTTTGTTTTTTGTCCAATTATTACTACAAAACATTAATTCCACGTTTGAAACCAATGCATATTTGAAAAGCATAACAAAAATGTCAAATTAAAGAAGACGATTTATTAATTTGCCTCAATAGCTTACTTGGATCTCCTTCTCAGGCGGGCGGTGGTTCTCACCGTCGTCGGAAAAAGGCCCCTTTACATATAGCTTAGTCTTCTATGGTCTTTGTTTTGGTTTGCTACAGATCTGGGTTTAGGTTTGCTCCGCCCTTGGCTCCTCTTCTCGATGGCTCCTTTGTTTGGATTGCTCTCGGCTGGTGCAATTCTTTCTTCGCTGTTGGCGGTCGGTTTCTCGGGGTGTTGTAGATGTTGGGTTTGCAACTGATCATTTTGGGGTTTCGTCGTCAAGATGTAGCTCTTTCGGTTAGGGTCTCTGTCTTCTGTGCTCAGTCCTTGCGTCTCATCCCTCTACGCCTAATTAATGTCTCTTCTGTGCTCCATGGATTTTCGCCGATGCTGAATTTACGCTGTTCTGGGGGCTTTGATCTCCCCGTCTCGATGTTTAAAACTCTGATTTGTAGTTGTCGTTAGAGGCTCTTGTGGAAAGGTTCGTATCAGGTCCTCTCTCCTTCCGGGCTTTTTCCTTCTGCTAGTGGTCGGTGGAAGGTTGGAGAAGTGTGACTTCCGGTTGCTTTCTTCTCTCGCTTGGATCTCTATCGAGATTTTGATTGGACCTCGCCGGCTTGAGCTGCTTCTGTTTGGTCCTTCTCTCCAGTGGCAGTTCTCTCGTTTGGTCAAGTGCCTTTAATCATTTGATTTTGCTTCGTTTCGTTGGAGGCTCTTTGCACCTGGTACTATCTGAGGTAACCCGTGCTGTGTGTTTCTTGCGTTGATGCAGAGGTTTGGTCCTTATAAGAGGGTATGATGGGTTAAATTTGGCTCTATAATCCTAGTAGTCTGGTTTATGCCATGATTATTTGGTTTAATAGTTGGCTCGAGCCTTTCTCCTTTCTTTGCAAGTGATTCTTCATGTTATTGTTTGGTGGGACTTCTCTTAAGACGG